GGATGCGCATGGCTCCTATAATGGCTACACAGACAGATCGGTGCTTGACTTTTGGCCTCCTGGACGGTGCTTACTTAGTACGTAATAATCGGTTTTGTCACTGTATTGAATGCCCAAAACGTCAGTGCTTCTGACAGCCTGGTTGTTAACAGCTATGAGAAGAAACTTTAAGTTGACCCCTGAATGCTTCGCCTCTTGTGATAGAAATTACGGAGATTGATGTCTCAGGCAGTTTAAAGTCTCCCTGCAATCTAGAGGCAATATTGTCTTTTTTAATAAATTTAATGGAAAAGAAATTTCGCATTGCAAAAATTTAATAGCTGAACTATTGAAGTTAAGTTCCGATGTAAATTTAGAAGAAAGAATCAAAATTTTTTTTTTTAAATGTCGAATAAACTCTAGAATTAAGTATTTGAATAAAAAAATAAATGCTCAAAAACATTGGGCTAATAAAAACAAGAAAATTGCCAAAACGGTTTTATAAATAAATGTGTAATTTTGAGTAAGTAGATATGCATTTCCACATTTACATTAAACGAAAATACAAAAACTAAAATGAAGCCGATTTTAATGTGATTTTAAATATTTTCATATTTACAAAAACTTTCATTTCATAGATATTGAATTTTATCAAATATGGTACATGCATAACAAAGGGTTAATTTCTTTATTTACGTTTTTTGACATTACAGTCAGGTATGAGAGAGCTCGACTGAATTGTCACTTCCACCTTGTTGAATATGCCTTGATATGTACCTTAATACGTTAAAAATGACGTGCACAGAGTTTTACAATTATATTAAGGAAAAGTCAGAAGTTTTGAAACAAGTCCACAGCAACGAAAAATTTGACTGATATTTTAATGTTATCTTGTACTCAAGTTTTTTTTCTTTCATGAAACCTAGAGTGCTTATCAGTACAGTGCCGTACAAAATTATTGGATCGGAGACTCTTCATCAAATCACAATTTCTAATCAGATCTGTTAGAAAAATTTTTTAAATATACCTTTTGTACCAATTAATAAAGTGCAAGTCTGAAGTTGCCAGCAAATTTCGTTGATTTTTAGCCATTTTTTTTTGCCGACAGTGTCTTCCATATAAAAAGAATTGTCGAACATAGTTTGTATGGAAGAAACTCTCAGTAAAAACAATACTAAAAATCAACTAAAATTTAATAGGCTGCAAAACTTCATTTTTAAAATTTGTACAAAAAGTCTAATTAAAAAGTTGCAAATTTGTATGCAAATTTATTGAATTTCTTGAGTTTTGCACAAAGTTTAGAAATTTTATTTTTATGTTTTTTGATGTATTTAGTAAAGTGTCCCGGTTTGGTAACAGAGATATCTGGCAGCCCTACCTAATAGTCAGTTTCACGAAAGCGATTTAAGTGAAAAATTATTATTTTTTATTTGCATTTAACATGGAAACTGGGTGACAGGTAATAAGATCAACGGAAATAAGGTCAATTGACTTTATTTCCCACCCTGGTGCGAAATAAAGTCAATTGACATTATTACCTTTTTAAAAACGAAATAAAATCAATTGACGTTATTTCTCTTTCAAACATTAAATTTGCTTAGCTTCGCGGCGGCCCGCGTCAGCGCGCACACCACGTCACGCTACGCCGCGGCCCCCCCGGGCCCCCTTCCCCGTCTCCCACCGTGCTGTAACGCAGGTAGATTTATATTTTGTATACGTTGAAATAAAATTTGTATATATTTTAAACATCGAGGGCTTATATTCAATAATACTCTCTATCTGCACACTTTTCACAAAGATGAGATTCTGATATAAAAATCCACCTAAGCTTTAACTGTCATCAGTGATATTAATGCTANTGTTTTATGTTTGTTTATAAGATGCCATTTTTCACTGCGATAGCATCGCAGCATCAGAAAGGGTGCGAAGGTCGAGGTGAACTCGAGCCGGCAAAAAAACAATATTGTGAAATTTATTGAGGGCAGCAGTCTACCGGATATCCGATCGGATATCCGAATCCGGCTGTTATTTTTTACAGGATATCCGGAATCCGGTTATCCGGCAAAATCTATATCCGGCACATCCCTACTGATAATGTTGCCATATAAGAAGGTGACATTTTTTTTTGAGAAAAGAAAACGCCATTAATTGCAGATGCAGCTCAAAATAAATTTTAAGTTGGTACCTAGCAAGATAAGTCGAAACTAAGGCGACTATTACTACTTTTATACGCACGTATTATTTGCAAATAACAATTTGCAAAATGGTAAACTTTGCCGTATAAACGCTGAGTTAATTTTATATTTGCAAATAACTAAATCACGCAAATAAGTATTGATTTGTGGTACTATTTGCAAATAAGCGCAAGACGCCGCCATTCTTAGGTTTATTTTCTTTTTTGATGATAATTTTATTGACTTTTTATAATCAAGACATTACCATTTTTAACTATATTTTCTTTTTCGATGGTTATATTATTGCCATTTTATAATCAGGCAATATTAAAAAAGAATTTTTCGCCATCGAATAAACAGTGATTTAGGTATTTGCAAATTATTTTTATTTTATGAATAGCTTTAGTAGTAACTTAGAATAGTTTCGACTTAGCTGTCAACTAATTATAACTATGAATATGCGCCTATGACATAATCATAAAACCACTTATCTCGAGTTAAGCCATTTTCCCAAACAATATTTTAAAGATTAATTGTAAGTTTTAAGGGAAACTTATTCACTTTTAATCCAAAGTCAAACCTTCTATAGTTACTTAAGTTGTTTTATCAATATGCCCCAGAATTGCATTCGCGAAACCAGTAGTAAATGAAAAAATTTTGTTTGTATTTGAATTTGAAACGAAAACTGACAGGGAAAACATAATTTTTAATTTAAATTGCTTTCGTGAAACTGGGTTTGGGAAATCGCATGGAAGTTTGGAATGTAATTTCTCAAAAAGGCGACTATCGATTTCCTCCAAAGTTTCGGAAACTGTTACTGGTTCACGAAATTCTTAAATTATTTTTATTGTTTGTTGTTAATTATTTTTGAGTTTATGAAGGGTTTTCTTCTTTTTGCAGCCACTTACCAGCCAGCATTACATTGGGTTCCCAAACAATGTTTTAAAGATTAATTGTAAGTTTTAAGGGAAACTTATTCACTTTTAATCCAAAGTCAAACCTTCTATAGTTACTTAAGTTGTTTTATCAATATGCCCCAGAATTGCATTCGCGAAACCAGTAGTAAATGAAAAAATTTTGTTTGTATTTGAATTTGAAACGAAAACTGACAGGGAAAACATAATTTTTAATTTAAATTGCTCTCGTGAAACTGGGTTTGGGAAATCGCATGGAAGTTTGGAATGTAATTTCTCAAAAAGGCGACTATAGATTTCCTCCAAAGTTTCGGAAACTGTTACTGGTTCACGAAATTCTTAAATTATTTTTATTGTTTGTTGTTAATTATTTTTGAGTTTATGAAGGGTTTTCTTCTTTTTGCAGCCACTTGGTTTGTGTATGAGATACGACAAAATGTGATAAAAACATGTACTTAATTAACGCAATTTCTTATTCAATACCCTGGAAACTAAAGAAGATATCCAAAAATTTATAACGCTATTTGAAAGATCTTATTTTAAAATATATAACTGCATCTTTAAATCGTCATGAAAATCGTCAAATAGCTCAGCAAAATATATAACTAAACTTCCCAAAATAGGCGAAGACATGTGTCTTTCCATCTATCTTTTTGTATACCTACTGTATGAATTGATCAAACTTTGATTGCGTCTTCCCAAAAAATTTAGATTTTTAGATAATTATCTGTATTAAAGCTTAGTTTCCAGCTCTTTAGAAAACGATCAAAAAAATGTTTATTAGCTCTGATCCAACACTTTCGTGTAAAATCCTGTAAAAATGTCAAACAGCAAAATTAAAGCATAGACAGACGGCAGTGTTGATCCGGATCAACTCGTTAATTCAGAATTATCTCGGGCTCAGTCTTTCCTCACGAAACAAACACGGGTTGCCTGTGCTCTTGTTTAACAAAAAACTTTAGAAAACCGGAGTAAATTTCTTAATGACTGCGTACTGCCTTGTGGAAATTTATCACAAGAAAATTTCTTCGCCATTTCTTGAGCGATTTTTATATGGACCTTTTGTTTTTCTTGAGAGCTGGATATTAAGCTTAAGTATTAAACGTGCGATATGTATTTATGTATTTATCTAATTATTTATTTATTTTTCCTTTGTACAAAATATTTTTTTAGACTTCTTTTACTTATGGGCATGGGTTTGGGCGCAATGTACATGTTGCACCTGCTTGCACAGGACTACAATAAAATACGACAGCCCGTTGCTGCGGCTGCGCGCGCACTCGCTACGGCCAGCAATGCGGTCGCACGTGTGAAGCGAGGTAACACCGAAGCAATAACCAAAGTCTACAAGCTCTTGAATATACAGGAACAACCAGGAAGCCATAATACTGCCAACACAACAACACTCAGTATTGAATGGAAACGTATTTTATCACGGGATCCTTTTGAATGTCTATTATCACTAATATGCCAACTAATGTCAGGTGCTGAGGCACACTCACGCGAAGCCAGATTAATAAAGGAATTCCTAGAAACAAAGGTTACTCACGCACCAGCAAAAATTGGAAGAGCTTTTAGTAGAGGTCTGGCTCTTCAAGGTGCTACCGATCGCTGCTATGACGAATATCCATTTTGTGTTTACTCTGCGAAAACTATGCTCAGAGTGCTAAGATGGTTTGTAGAATCACCTAGTGAAGAAGACGCCTGATAAGCCAAAAGCGATATCGATTGCTGGCGCAAGAGGAAACATTACAAGCGAATGGTCGTTTCTATCAATTGAAATCTTCATATATACGTAAATAAATAATTACATACACATAATTGAGTATTTAGTTCCTTGGCGCGTTACGTTTAAACCGGCTAGAATAATACCGCTAAACTAACTTTTTAAGCACTCCTCTGCACACATATCGTTTATACGCCCTATCGTTCGAGATAGATAATAGGGCTGTTATTTTCTTCAAAATGTTTGAATGGTTTGCTTACTAAATATGAACTTCGGCTATAAATATTTACTAAAGGCCTGCAGATGTTGAACTATAAAACATAGCAACATGTGTCTCATAGGATGGTCCAAAAACAATAAAGTCGGAATTGTAATGCTCTCACCCCTAGGATGGTTCTATATTGAAAAAAGTATACCCCTATTTTTTATTTTGAAATCAAAAAATATTTAGAGGTCGCTCAAAGCGCTCAAAGTTTTCCATGTATTGTTATATGGCAAAAATAAAATGTTTCATAGAAATGCTATAGAATTCTTGAAAATCGGTATTTTTCGATCGGAAAGCTCTGATTATCTTCAGGAGACTTTCAATAATAATACCCAATTGTTTATTTAACCCTTTATTATTATTGGGAATCTTCTGCATTTGTCTCAAAATATCAAAGCACCTTGACCGCATGGAATGGAACAACAAAACGGATTTGACGGCTTATGGTACCGGCAGCTGTGAGTAATTAATTGTGACTGCCTGCAACTAGGAAAAGTCGAGCTCAGCTAATAAAAAAACTAATTACAAGCTATTCATTACTGGTGACCCTTTTCAAGAAGTCACCCGGGAGCTAAGCAGATCTGAGACCTTCATCGTGCGTAATTCCAATAATTCAAATTATTATAAGAAACGGGGTGCCTTTTTAACAAGCAAACAAGATTTTAAACTAATTCGGCTGGCAGCCACGACTTTCAGAATTTTCTTAGAAATTTTTATTCCTAGAAAATAACAATTTATTTGCCATATCCACCTATTTAGAACCTTGCTATAAGCACACATTTTCCAAACCAGTCACAGAAGAAAGGTTCAAAAATGAATTACAAAAACTAAAATCGAAAAACGCTGATGACGTTACAGGTTCTCCAAATTCTGAAACAACCAAAATAATGAGAATGAATAATTCTTTGGAAAACAACGACGTTTAAACATGATGCTGGATTGTGAAGATGAAAGTCAGGAGGATACATCCGACATTTGCAGCCCGATGCAATTCTCAAAATGGAATTATTGCACCGCAATAAAAAAAAAACTAACTGAAAGTCAACTGGTGCAGCGTCAATCGAAAATAATTTTAAATTTTGTCAAGTTTCCAGTTTTTCAAGTTTGTCGCCTCGAGCCATGGTACAATAAAAACAGAAGCCAAATTGACATCAAACCTACAAAAGTCAAAGTTTTCGGGAGAGTAAAAATAGAAATAAGCGTGTGTAAGGAAAAATCAAAAATTACATTTCGCTGGTTGACGTTTTTGAGTAAATTTGAAGTTTTGTTTTTATTTATTTATTTTCTTTAGTTAAAGTTTGTTAATTTGTATGTTGTTTTCTGATTTTGATTTATGAGTTGCAGTGTTGTTGGAGGGACTTTCCGGCATAAGGATCATAGGAACAGCATCAACGTGCCTCTCCTGTACCTCCCGGTGCTTTTATGAAATCTGCTGCTTTAAAATGTTTAACGCACAGCAAGGCATCTCGCTGCAGCTCTACCCCACAGCTGCTTTCCCAACGCTCCTTACGCCAAGGACATTGAGGCACGTTAAAAAAATGAATGATGTTTTCATTATATTTAACACCACATAAAAAACAGCGCTTGAGGTGTTGCATTTTTAACACATACACTAAGTATAAACCGCACAACACTACAAAAATTCAAATGCTAATTAAAATTTGTCATTAACGAACATTCAAAAAAAGAACGACATGTCACTAAAAGAGTAACGAAATATAGGAAATAAAAGGAAAACAAGTTGAAGTTTAAAGGTTTGGTTCTCATGAGAGCAACGTCATTTTGGCTTCTACCTGTATTTATGTGCCTTGGTCTCGAGCGAGTAGTTATTTAGTGGCACAGGTTTGATTTACGACCCTTTAAGAAACAGGCAGCAACATTACTTTTAATTAAATGCAATGTTCCAATTTTTAAATACAAGTACTAAATAAAAAAACAATAACCTTTAATAAAAATTACTAACTTTTCCATTTTTTATTTATCTAAATCGCATAATTTACTCACCTAAATTATTTCTTAAAAATACTTGGCATCCGCATCCGTGGATGTTAGCTTTTCAACTTCCGTATCCGCATTCGCATCCGCAGATGTCTAAAATTCCACAGTCGCAACATCCCTACTTCATAGTATGTCTCTCATACATGTTTAACAATGACATATGAAGACACTGTCGAAATTATTAATCAGCATTATTAATTATGTACATTGTATATACGGGAAGAGATTTTGCAAGCTCCTGTCTAATTAAAAATCGATATATATTTTCATACAAGGCAGGATCAAACAGTTAGGGGATTCCCTTAAACTCGTAGTCTTAAACCCTGTAAAACTCGTCGCTTTACGAGGCTTTTATGGGAACGCCGCCTTTGTGAAAAGGTGTAAATAGGTGTGTAAAGTGACTGTTTGACAGATAAACCAGGATTTTGCGAAGCCCTTTTTGTTTCGTAGTATTTTACATAACATCCCGCCATATCGTCTCTGTCACTCTTGGCTAAAATACAGTTAAAAATGCCGAAAATTAGCAGAAAACCTAAGTCAATACAGTTGGTGATTGAAATTCATTCATTTTATTCGCGTATTATTTTTTTTCATTTATATTCAGTAGTATTAAAAATATGCTGCAGAAACACAACAACTTATCAAAGTAGCAATGACATGATAATAATTGATTTCCACCAAGCCTTAACGGCATTTTATGCCGTTTGAAAAACCGAGATTAAAACTCGACGGGGTCAATTCCACCTATTAAGTAGAAGCAAATGAAAGGAAAAAAGCAAAACTTAATAAAAACCTTGCCTATGACCCCATGTTGGAATTATTTGAACTTCTTTGAGCTCTTAACCGCAGTTAAGCCTTTGGTGGAAATAGGCTATAATACAGTATGTTTGAGATGAAATGACATGGCATAACACCTTGTTTGAGTTGTTAGCAATGCATGGAATTTTTGAAAATGACATTTTTACAGAAAATGTTGAAGTTTGTAGTACTTTAATATTTACAATAAAATTTGTGAAGTAGGAAAGCATTGAGACACGGTAACCAAAATACATTTATTTCTATACCACCTCATACGTGGTACGCTTGCACATGAAAATCAGCTGATCGTTTGACACTTTTCATGAACTTACAGGAAAAGAAACTCCGGACTAAATCCTGTAAACCGGACTGCTATTGGAACAGACTAATGGTCAATGACCAGTGTTGCCAAGTTCTGAATTTGAAAAGGCACTAAACCCCAAGAAAAATCGCGTTTTTCTCGACAAAAGCACCCAACTTTTTATTGGAGGATTTAGTGGACTTTGTATGCATACAAAATTTTATTGAAGGTATACTGATTCAAATTAATAAAAATTAATGTTTCTTCCTCGCCGGTCGAAGGTACATTATTCATTTTACTGTTAAGAGATGCTGGTGCTTTTTTTAATATTCGTAAAAAATATAGCGAATTCAGCCCAAATTGAAGACCCAAAGATCAATTTTTGATCCCAGGAACATGGACGTTTTTTTAAGGCAATGGCAAATTACCGTATGTAACTCTGGCATGATTAAAAGTGCTGGCACATATTTTTTTGAGAAACATATGCTCTTTCGCTTATGAATCATAAGTTATCATAAGATATGATTGTCATTGTGCCACGATTTTGTTTCCATTTTTGTAAAATTCCTTACGAAACTTCCAATTGCTCTAAATTTAACTTCTATTTTTGTTTCAGATTTACAGTTTTGGTGTCTTCAAACTAAAAAAGCACCAAGCACCAAACTCAAATATTTTCGCGTTTTGGATTAAGAAAAGCGCTAAATTTAGTGCGAAAAGCACTAAGTTGGCAACAGTCTCAATGACCACATCCGATGAGCAAAACTCATTACAAAAAAAAAAAACAAAAATTGTTGAAATGCATATTCATTTTGCATCTAAAAACTAGTGCGCTCAATCACATTATTTATTTTTTATATGTATTTTATATGCAAATGTTACACTAAAAATTGGACTTTGAAAATCAGTGTTTAAACTTCACACAAATTCAGAATATTATGAAAAACTTCCTAGTAGCGAAAATGGTCACTGGTGACATCCTCACTAATGAGGATTTAGTGACATCGTCGCACTTGCTGTGAATCCTAAGCGACATATAAAACTATGTTCCCATTAGCGTAATTTATAGGTCAATCTTAATTTATGCATAAATTAAGTACAAACTAAGTAATTAAGTCTATCACTAAATTAAGTTGAAAGTACGTAGTTTATCTTAAACCAAGAAACAAATCACGAACAAATCAGTGTCGGCTCTAATTTTATCGATAATAATCGAAAAAAGTATTGTCCCATAACTGATATGTCATTGTGTTTGGACGTTTTTGTTTTTAATAATCTCGCGTGGTAGTTTGTAAAATATTTCCAGAAGCTTTCTCTTTTGATCACTCATCTAAAATGTAAAAATTTACTACAAACAACTCAGAATATAAAAATATACGCAATTACTCACATTCGCGATCTCTTTTGGTTAAATAAACAATAACACAGGGTTGCTACAAAGCTGTCAAGACAAATAAAGAATCGCGTGTATGAACGCACTTAATTTAGTGAGGTATTTTAAACGAAACTAAGTATTTTATGTTGGTAATGTGAACATAGTTTAAGTTGCGATCCCGTACGAGTCCGGACTAGTCAAAAATAGTCAGAATCAGTCAGATTTTACTGGAAATCGATCCCGTACTCGGTTCTCTGACTATTGAGAGGACAAAAAAGAGAGTAAATACGGT